TTCACTGCGAAAGCCGTATTGATTATCATAAAGAAGGTGAAAGTTAGAAGCAAAATCAAAGAGGCGATTGTAGACTAGTTTCTCGAGGATTTTGGAGAAACACGGGAGTAGAGAAATAGGCCGGTAGTTTCCGATGGTACGGGCATCTCCATTTTTGTAAATAGGAATAACTTTAGCTATTTTGAGATTAGAAGGAACTGCACCTGAAGATAAGGATAGATTACAGATGTAAGTGAAAGGTTCAGCTATAAAACAGATGGCCGATTTAATAACAGTAGAGCAGATGCCGTCAAACCCGAAACTAGCACTGGATTTGAGTTGCCTTCCAATACGGATGATTTCTAAGGAATCTGTTGGAGTAAAAAAGAAAGAGGAGGGATTCGAGTTGTGGAGATAATCGGAGAAGTGAACGTTTGTGGCTAGTAAGGGAAGTAAGGGAGACGTATGAAGCACGAAAAACAGAGGTTGATCGAAAGCTCGCAATTCGCAAAGATCGGAATTCTATCCAAGCAGCTGTCTCTAACACTCTCTAGTATACTCAACTACATACAAGGAAACGCATTACGTCCCGCTTGAGTAGTCCGCAATAATTTTGATTTGTTTTTCGGAACACGACGCGACGGTTTCACAAGGCAACATGCACCACGCTGAAAACAAAGCATTTCATTCACTATGTGCATGCACACTGACTCAACTGAAGAAATGTATTTGCATTCACGTCACGAATCACAATAACAAAGAAGATGTCCTGAATCAACAATACAAGTATCCTTGATCAAAGGGACGATATAAATCTAAAAAGACACATTCAAGGAAAGATTAGCTCTCACCATTTTCTGTCTTACCACTGCATGCTGTGGGTCACTCACAACTGGTCTACCTCACCAGTATACATGAGGCATGTCTCACTGTCGACGGTTTGATTGGGTATTAAACTTGTATCTTTACGGCGATGGATCTTCACATCAGCCAGAGAGGCCTCCAAGATCAGAGTCAGATCTTTGGTAAGGGCAAGCAGCCTGAGTGAACTAACGCTTTACGCAGATACAATTATCCTCTGATGATACACCCGCAACGACAGCACACTAGTGAGTTCCAGGCTCATGATTTCATCCAGAACTGGTATCTCCTTCATCAATCCACTGATAAGGGGAATTCGCGGGCAATAGTGAGGGAAGACGACTGCCCTACTCAAGAAAATTGCTGATTGTAATATTCTGATGTTCACACACACATGCGACGCTCAAAACGCCGGAAGAATTACCGTGTCATGACTGCGTCCCCCATAGATCCTGAAAGGGATGCGTTTACCAAGTCCATTCCACGGTGTGTGTACTGTACAGCCGAGGACACAAAACACATCTGGTGATAAACTGCTCTTCAACACCTCTCATCGTGCCTTATAACACGTTGGCTCATCCGTAATACTATCTACCTGCCGTCCCCATAATGTGAACAAGTCATGCGTGCATTTTCAGCTGCAGGTGCCAGGTGGTCCCCTTTTTTAGGCCTACATCATTTTGTTCAGCTCCCCGTCACCTCTGCAAGTGGAACCACTAGGTCAAACATTTTGAGTTCCAAGAACGCACATGGGGTACCCGTCTATTTCACGGTCACTGCACTGTTGTAACTACAGAAGAACTAAAACTGTGAGGGATTAATACTGGATAAAGATATATGACCGTAACCATTCACTCCAGCAGTTTATTCAGTAGTCGCATGGCCCTCTGCATGAATAACAAGAAATTCAATGAAAATTTACAAAGGACGCGAGATTTTTGGCCTTTGCCTATGCAGGTAAAGCTTGGTATAGGTATAGGTACAAGACCGATGTTACTTTTGCGCTCAAATGAGTCAGAAATTCGTTTTTTATTGTACATCCGTGTTTAGGAGATTCTGATCACGTGTAGCTCATTCTTTCGTTTTCATTCATCTTCATTGCATTCATTATTGTTTAGAAATTCAATTTGCTTTCCTGCTCATCCAAATTACAAAGGTTGCGATTCATTTAACAGCATTCAATATTCATTAGATTTGGTTTGCCTTGAAGTTAGAGGTTTCTACTTCCGATTCTTACCTCCGTTTCCGTTCATATGCAATCATTTCAGCACTTTGCCTGTTCAAAATAATTACATATATTCATCAAATAGATAGAAAGTAAGCAAAAGTAGCGATGAAAAGGGCTTCAATTAAGACAATGTCCCTTTCAATCTTGAGATTATGTTTATGTTTATTTCAAGGAGGCAACTGCTGTTTATAATCTTTGGCACTCTTCCATCATTTTTAAAACAAAGCTCTACTGTATATACCTCCTTACCTACGTAGCAACATCCTCAAATTCTAAAGAAAGAAAATCATTTGTCAATAATTATATTAATCATATTATACGTAAACCTCAGAATTATAGAAACAATTTGCAGGGTACGGGTCCTATTAATGTTTTTCTTTTAATATTTCTAATCATTGTCTTAATTATGCTAGTACGTATATGTATCTTAATGTAATATCTATGTGAATGTGGTAATTTGTACATGTATCTATGTAAGTGGGGGTCCCTCCTCAATAAGCGCTGCTTTTTAGGGAAAAAAGTGAACCTGAACCTGAATTCCATATCCCTTTCCTGTTGTCAAAGTGCAAACAAATAACAGAATAGGTGTCGTGTGTGGTGTATTAGAATTCCAATGCCAAATAAATGTCAAAATGTTTACCAGTTTGAATCATTCGACCATAATTCTTCGCCCATGAACTGATTAGAATGTTCTTTGTTGGCGAAGACAAGATGTACTCTTAATTTGATTGTATTTTCCCGATCTTAAACCGGTCATTGTACTTAACTAAACGGTGATCTTCATTCTGTATTCCATTCCTTGCAGATATGATGACTTGCAAGGTAATTTGGGTAAAATTGATCTGGAAACCTTCATATAGATTTCCCAATGTCGTCAATAACAGTAAGGACCTCAATAATAATAATGAAACCATTTCTTACTGCCATAAGAACGCATGCAGGCGTAAAGAATACGATGCAATTAGGTGTCAATTACGTACGGATCCAGGACTGGGTAGGCCATGTCGTTTCCTGCCTGAAATGAGTCTTCAAGCAACACCATAATAAAAAGCTCACAATTAACTTCTAGCCCGATTAACATCAAAAACCGAATGGGCCTACTTTGTGATATTCTGCTCACTTAAAGTTTCATTACTTTGTGACTTACACGATTCTTGACAACCAATTTCACTTCTAGCTCGTCTCATCCCGGCAAACTCACGCACAATACATTATTTGACATTTCCAGCACCCCTTGATGACTGCAGTCAGTTACATTACCACCTAAGACTAAATTTCCGAAGAGTAAAAGCCTCGCTCCATCAGACTGGCTCTTGCAAACCTCTGTGTGTGATATTCATACACTCTAATGAATCTAGCTTCCATTCATTTTATCAACTGAGTATCTCCCTGAATCGACTGATCCCTAGTTTCAGTCTGCGATCCTTAGTCGTGATACTCTTTGGAAAATGAAAAATGTTATTAAAGTAAAATAAGACTAGGTACGTGGAGGGCTTGTTAAAATTCAATGACTTTTGAAATTACTGCCCACGCTCCCGTTTATGTATATTCAATGTCAGCCACTAAATAGATAAAGCACCTTCTTAATAATTTCAAGTGAAAGAGCCATTTAAATATTACCGCTATAGGCCTAGGCCAAACCATTTAACAGGAGTACTTCTGTGGTCACAACAGCAATACTCTTGAACGTAAATTGTTCTTTGCGTGCGCTGGAGAACAAAATATCGTAATTTACACGATGTTGCCACAAACGCTGCAAAAGTAAACTCAACTGCCATAAATAAACACAAAATGCAAAAAAAAAAAATTAAAATGCCAAAAAACCCTCAAAATGCCAAAAAACAAACTCAAAATGCCAAAGTCCAATATCAAAATGCCAAAAAACAATCAAGTTGTGCATTTCCTGCATCTTTGTTTGAAAACAGATGATTTTTTATTGTAAAATTCCCTCGTTGCACTTCCTATCTTAGTAAAAAAAAATCAGAATTCCAAAGAATGTTTAAAAGACGAATTACTGACGATCAATATTACTCTTGGCACATCTCCAAGACCAAGTAGGCCTATTTTGCTTTCCTTCAACACGCATTTCCGAGGATAGGCATTTATAATCAGTCCCACTAGATCCGTACGTGTACTAGTAACAGCAGGGATAATGTATGTACCAGTTGCCAGCTTCAAAATGAACGCAGTTCCCATTAAGGCCATTGTCTTCCTACTAGAAACAGTACCGTACCTTGTCTAATATCTTTGGGACGTCAACAGGACGAGCAGGATTGACAACTTCTCCACGATGCATTGGACGTGATTGCCCGCACGATACGGAGATCCATCATGCAGAGTAGGTGCATATCACGGCCGTACATGACAAACCACATACACCAAGACTGTTCAGTCCGTCACAGCAAAAATAGCCGCGGAAATAACTTGTCGGCTTTGCTTCTCATTATGAAGAATGTACATGTACTACGAGGAGTGTGAGACTCATTAGAAAGAGAGCACTATATTCCACTGCCCAATGAGTTAGTATCCCGGTGTCGCGACGGCAGTCTCTCCACAATTTAGTAAGGTCAGAATGTGTGCAAATCGCACCACGCCATCACAACAGTAACATGTCAATGGCCACGCGATACGCAATTTCCCGCTCAATGCGATGTTTTCTTGTAGCGCCACTTACGGCGTGTTTGACAAAAGCGGGCGAAGGTATGTTAGAGTACTAAAAATGACGCGCGATTCAACACCAACACGTGTCTGCTGTCCCCAGAAATGCCCTCCTTTTGTAAATTGTGGCGCTGTTTTGCTTTCTGTTATTTACGCTATAGCTGTGACTGTATTTAAAACTGTATTGTAACGGTAGTGAGATCTCCCAAGGTTAGTTTTCATTAATGAGAAGTGCATTTAAAATTAAATAGCAGCACACCATGTGCGTTGATTGCAGCGCATCGACAGCTGCAAAGGCAAAATTTGCCTTAGCCATACAAGTATTTCAAAGCAGGTTGCACGGGGACATAGCATTTTCTGTATTCACAACAACCAATCAACAAATCGGGCTCTTGATCTTTCCTAGATAATATTATTTTTCCTCTTTATCCTGCGTATACTTTCCACATTAAAGTGAACTTGTTTAGTACAAAACTAGGCACTGGGAACATCAAACAAAGCACAGAACGACGCGTGAAAAACGTAAGTTTGTAAACAAGAAATCAACAAGAGTATTGCATCAATCAAAACTGGTAAGTGGCACAGTCACAAGAGGCGATATGAAACTGCTGTCCTAGGAACATACAGTAAAGCTGCCCTTTTTCTTATAAACGTATAATGATGTATTAGAATGTATGATTTTTACAGAGAATGAAAAATTACCAGTTTATACAGTTTTAAATTAACTTAAATCAAGTACTGAAAATTTAATTTTCACACACTCGAATTACTTCCGTTGGGAAAAGGAAATACACTTTATATTATTACATGATATTTGAATTGACGTCATGACATCGCTGAAATCTCCACAACAACGCCAATCAGTCGGTGCATAATTTATTTTCAATTTAAAAATTATGGACGGAATATTTAATGTATTTTCAATTTAAAAAGCAATGGACAACGGTTCTGTTGTTATCTGACAAAATAACATATACAGCATTTTTTTATCTACAGTGGAATACAGAACATAAAATGTACACGTATTCCATGCTCCTTGTTCCATGCATTACCCAAGGTATGCACTGATAAAATTTCAATTACACCTCTTCAAAACCTTTTCTGGAAAAATCCTTTGAAATGATATATTGAGCATTAATTGCGCTAATTGTATGCATTTTCCCACTTGGATTTGACCCTTATTATTCTAAAACTAGATTAAATTCACCCCACTGGCACTACTGAGCTGCAAACAAGGAAAGAAGATAAAACCTACGGAACTAACACATGGAAACAATGCATAATTTTTACATTGACTGTCATAACAATTATTCTGTAAATAAAGTCAGTAGATGGATAATGGCATTTGCCCGTGTGATGTTTGACACATCTTTTGAAGCATCCCGGGAAGTTATTTGACATCCTCAAATCTAATCAGTTTTAGGGTCCCTGTCCACACTTTCATGTACATGTATCAAGGAGCAAATAAACTTCAAGGACGGACTGTGCCACGTAAAGTGGCCCCGTCTGTGTCCATTATGTTGCTCAGGCTTCAAGCATCCGTTTATGTTCAGTTTGTTGATAAATAACCCTGCAATAAAAGTCATCGTGCGTTTCACTTGGGTTGTTTACACTTCAGGAACAACATTCTGTTTATTCTCAATGTTCCTCAAGTCTTCAATGGAAAAATTATCATTGGCCTTCCTGGATCACTTAATTCAACACTCAGAAGTACAAGTTTCTTTTTTCATAAGGCGAGAGTTTTTTTTTAAGTTGGTGCTCGGATCCGCCGGCCTTTTGGCTTCAGAACTGGAAAAAAATGTTTAAATATTTAAATTATTTAGAGAAGTCTCAGATCCGCTAACAACTTCCCGATGTAAGTGTAAAGTGTTTTTTCTCCCCGCTGTCTGACTGACAGCGAAGTCCCTGGTCCTCGGCTGCTAGCGCAAATGGTAAGGGATACCGCTGTTTTGCCGGAAAAAAGTTTGTTTTTGTATTCTTCCCTCCGACTGAAGACCCTTATTAATTTTGTTTATCTTGAAACCCTAGAAAATGTTTCTTTGGGTTTTTTCGTCCTCCTCTAAAATTTATCTTTAAAAATCAGAGCACCAACTTTCTCGCCTAATGGTGAGTACACCGCGCTGACTATATATTTGTGAATCAACAGCACTTTGAACACAGTTCATGTCAACGCATGCAGATATAATCAAGTTTTTGAGAATCAAAAGCTAGCGTTCAAACATTCACAAAGCATTCAATCCCGATTTAAAATCCAATCCTCTCTTCAACCAACCATCATAACCCAATCAATACAGGTTCTCAATAACAACATAAGCGTCAATAAAAATGCACTATGCATGCATACCCCTGAACAAATACGATACATGCGTTATACATGTACGTAACAATGTACATTATATGTAATGGATCTGCAGGGTTCTTCCCTTGCCCTTGGAAATTAATATGTCCGTCTTTCGCAACCATCCTGCAATACCCAGCCAACACAATGCTCTCTTCCGTTAACAATTATCCCATCAGTGAAGAATCCATTTGGCTTTAGCCACAGCCTGACGCTGCCATAACTGAAGAACCGCACTGCATGAAACACGTCTATCAAACCTGCTCATCGATGCATCATTCAAATACACCTGCTGGGAAGTCTTTAACGTGGGGCTTGCGGCGAGTAAAATATCACTAACATTATTTCCCTTCTTCAACCATCATTAATTCCGAGGAGCAATGGCCCTTCTGAGAACTTGAAAGCAACATTCTCATCATCAGTTGGGATCATTTTTACATATCCATTTACTAATGGGCAATGCTGAAGGTAAATAAAAGCATCTAGGTGTTTAGACATGATGTTAAAATACAATATCTATTAAAAAATTGAGTTTCAGTTGTGCATGTTCATTAATATACGAACATATAACTGCTCGACTCCTCCAGTGAGAACTGTGCCAAATTTTCATTAGAAGTTATTTAATACATCTTGACTATTATCATAATTAACAGAATAAGATTCCTGTAAAAAGCAATGGGAAATATTCCTACATGTAGCTGTTTTTGCCAGAATCTATCTTTCGCCCAGCTCCAAGTTAAAAACTCACATCAGTCATAAAAGTCATAAACTGTCCTTAGCTCCAGTCTGGTAGTAGACACATTAAATATCATATTTTTCCATTGATGGAAGGTGAAGTTAGCATGTATTTGCTAAATGCTATCAAAATGTATGAACATGCAGTTACTTCTCTGGAGAGAGCTATATGTATTACACTGGACACGGAATCATCAATGCCTTTCCGAATATTTCTGATGGTAGCTACAAACCTCGGCCATGCATGGATTCACCATATGCATATTTAATGCCCGAGTACCCTAAAATTTGTCATGAAAATTGATGAAGCAATCGCACATGCTGCAAAAAACAGCCGCTCAACCAGCGATTTTTTTGTAATTCCAGCCGTTTTGGGACTTGATACCGGGAAAAGAAATAATTATCATATAGATTGCACGGGCAGCGGCCTGAATAAATTAGCAATCCCAACAGATGTTTTTTCTCACTCACAAATTAAAATGTACACCGTGTGGATTTAGTTCTCGAATGGCCAAGAATGGAAGAGCCAAAGAAACCAAGTCGATTGAATAGTAGGGCAAATAGCAGTATTAAACAGGCAGCAAATAGGATTGATTAAACGTAGTAACTTAGGGGGTCACTCACTTCAGTGGCTTCACCAAGGGAATTACTGAGATAACTTCTGTTCCCTCAGTGCAACCCATGTACTCTCGGAACACTGTCTATACCGTTGTAATGTTTATTTAAACAGCTGGGTGCAAACACACACATTACACGCCAAAGCAATTCACTCAAAAAAGGGGTTTACTTCGGAATAGTACAAGCAAATTATCATATACAGGAAAAACAAATCAAGTGGATCCGTTACCACGGGATACATTTATTTGTCAGTGAAAATACACTTTTGTTTGGAGAAAAGATATGAAAACAATTTTGCTCTAAATACTAGCTTTCTCGTTATAAATAGTTTCCTTCATATACATCTTCAAGTCTCTTGGGATACATGCTGTTCAAGACTTCTACTGCGCTCCATCCTGCATCCTTAGGGGACTACACATCCGTACTAATTGGCAATCTGACCAATGTCCTCACGATCCTGTGTCTGTATAGCTCTGATATTGCTTCAGAAAGTCTGGCATGGCCAGCCCGAGAAACTCCAGCAGCTCAAAGTAAGACCACGTGAATGCCCTGGTCATCTCCTGGGAGTGGGACAGCACGTTGGCCTCCGACTGCAGCGACTTGTTAAACATCAGCCGCCGCTCCATCTCCTTCTGCCTCTTAGCCAGCTCAAGGGCGAACCTCTCAGCTTCCTCCTGAGCCAGTTTGGCCAGGAGTTCTCGCTTCAGTCTCTCTTCCTCTGCCAGGCGCATGGCGATGAGCTCATCCTCTCGTTTCTTGCGTTCGTACTCCAGTCTCTCTTCCTCGGCCATGGCGGCCAGCTTGGCCTCCTCAGCTTTCCGCCTCTCGTCTTCCTCCTTTTGTTTCCTCAGGTTTTCCTCTGTGGGATCAGAAGGCTAGCGTTATACATGACCAGTTCCTACATTTCAAGGAACCCTTCAAGAGATGAACAGTTTGATAGACTTCGTTGAGACCAAGCCCTGTGCAAGATTGTTAAACACTTCCGGACTCTCATTAGCATACGCAGGTTGCTGGACAGTGTATACAGAAGCACTTTCTTTAAAATGACTGTTACGTGTTTGTGTCTGTGTCCAAGAGAAACCCACAAATATGACATTATAATTGCCAAAGAAAATTCCCCACGAAGAGTGTAGCCAGTTGTTGATAGTCCGTGACGTGATGGATGATAAGGTATCAATAAATTTTACTGAAAAAAAAAAAGAATTCTCAGTGACAGTGCCCGACCGTATATTTGATCACAGCACTTTCATGTGTCCTTTGTCGTCTGCACTCTCATATTTGCCTGTTCCCACCTTTCTTCAGGTATCAATTCAGTATCCATTTGAAATGACCAACTGACATCACCATGATTGATAATGCAGTTTCTGCTATATCGGCAGAGACTATCAGGAAGCAATGGGATGGAATAAAAAACATTGAAATCAGTGTTGCAGTCGAGACCACTTAACACATTCTCAAGGCCACACAAGACCAGCACAAGACCAACACAAGACCTCCAGTCTGAATTCAACTCACAAGCTATTCAAATGAACTGCAACAAAAGCATTCCGTTCTCATTGTTCACTCTGTTACTTGTGACTGGTCTTGCGTCTGGTCTTGCGATGGTCTCGACGATGACATTGATTGAAATGTGCAAGAGATAAACTGACCCCTCTTCCTCTCTTCCTCCTCCCGTTTCTGTCTGGCAATCTCCTCCATCTTCCGTTTATACTCCTCCATCCTCTTCTTCTCTCGCTCGGCAGTGATGGCAGCTTGTCTCTTCCTTTCCTCTTCCTCCCGGCGTCTTCTCTCCAACTCCTCTGCTTCACGCTCCCTCTTCAGTCTGATGCAAAGAGAAGGACCAAAAAATTGAGGGAACAGAGCAAGAGATCGTTTCCTAGTAGAAGTAAGACCATGTTTGTCAGCAAAATGGAAGATCTTCTCTTGAGGAACTCAATGTCATTGAAGAGGATACACGTCTACCACTTACACGACTTTGGCTTTGCTTCACGAGAATAAATGTGTACCCTGAAGATTTGGAAAAACTCACTGCACACTTGCTAATGAAGAGAGTACATGCAATACCCGACAATATATTTCACTCATGAAAAATTATCAGAATATTACCTTGAGATCTGGCACAACAACTTTGTTCTTGAAACCAAAGATTAACAATTGTAAGTAAATCTACTAATTAATGTTTTTGTCACCGTTTCATGCCTGAGTGTTTAATAACTAGTTGTCATGTTCTGATCATCTGCACGCCCTTTTGTTTTGTTCTTCCTTCTGTTTTCCTGCTCTGTATCCCCTACTTGAGATTCTATCCAAGTCTTTCCGCACCTAATTTCCTCCTCTTTTCTCCGCTTCTCCTCCTCAAAGTCACGCCTGAGCTGCTCTTGCCTCTCAGCCTCCTCTTGCTGCTTCCTCTTGGCCTCCTCTCGCTCCCTCCGCTTCCGTTCCACGGCCTGCTTTCTCCGCTCGGCTTCGGCTGCTCGCTTGGCAGCTTTGGCCTGGGAGCGGGAAATGCCGCTTAGTCCTTGACTGGTAGAGTCCTGAGACAATGATTGGAGTCAAGTATAAGTCCGTTATCAAAAATGAAGTGGTGAGAGTGAAGCTGTCTCTACCAACACACAGGTCCATTACCTCAAAGTGTGCCAAGCACATTTTTGTATCACGGCTATTAAATCACTACTACGCTGACCTAAATTGATGGGTACATACGGCCAAGAAAGGGTAAAATGAATGTTCTTCAAATAAGTTATGCTTTGACATGGCAATCTTTAAATTTCTTTTTTAAAAAGACACGGGCAAACTGGTTTGACAAACTAAGGCCAAAATAAGGCACATAGTGCAGATAGAACTTATATATTAAACATAAGATCAATTTGGTTCATGTACATCTGATTCATGTACATCTGATTCATGTACATCTGATATTTTCAACTGGTCATCAGCAGCTGACACATTGAGAGCATTTTGGACCCCTCTCCTCCTCAAAAGCGACTGCTCGTAAATTCTCAGGAGATGATTCAAATAGTACACGTAACTGTCTACCAAAGCGGTACCATAGAAAAATCATGTGTACATAACAAGTCAAGAGGTAATACTTGAAGTACAACATAATTCACCCTGAAAACAGGAATTAATAAGAGAACTGCAAAGGAAGAGAAGTTCACCTATGACGTTATCCTTATCATACAAGAAGGTGGAAAATATCTGGAGAAAATGTCTAGAGAACATGACAAGAGTAATAAAGCTTTGCTGAATGAGGATTAAGAAAGAAAACATACATAAGTATTTGTAAACAACAGATAACAATTATTAGGTAGAAAAAACACAGAGTCTGACTTTTTAGTGGCACTACTTTAAATTGGATGTATATTTCACGAGAGCCTATTTCTATGAATGGGAAGATCCAAACAGAATGCCATACAAGAATGATTAAGTTCACCGCAAGAGTTGCCAACTTACGCATCTCAAAAGTCAAAGCTTACATTAAAAGCACTACACACGTGTGTTACTGTATATCATGAATGCCAAGATTACAATCATTTATCTTGTAATGGATCTATCCCTCTCACATGACACTCATTAACATCGGTATTTCAGGTAATGTAAGCCCATTAAGAACAAGTTAGAGATACCATGAGAGAAAGAATAAAGCTTCTCTTAATGAACCATGGTAAGTTCTCTCTTATTCCCATTGAGTAAAATGTCACTCCCTCATCTCTTCAAAATTAGACTGAAAGATTTAGAGTGAAAACTGCTGTAAGGCTCTATAATTAGATGAACAGATTTTGAAAGAAAATCCATCAAACAGAAAATGAGCCTCATCAAGTAAATGTTCACCCCTAATCTCAGTTGTAGTCAAGACAAAGTTATTAAAAGAGCAATGTGTAAAAATCTCATGCAGTATAAATACATTTTCCTATTGTCCAGGATTCATTTGAAAAGCTTTCCATTAACCGTTTCTGATTGTCTCAAGCTGAACGCTTGTATGGACCCAACCGGCAAATTTTCAAGCTTGGTTTTGATATAAACAGAATGTCTGCATCCCTACTCGGACCAACATGTTGAATCCAAGAAGTATAATAATCTAATCTATATAATAAATGGAAATAAACTCTCGTTTAGATTAGATGACTGAATGGTTTAAGTGGTTCAAAAGTGATCCTAGCTAGACCCTCACAATACCACTTATGAGCTGGGCTTATTAGCATGCTTCAGGAAAGTTTACGAGTGGAGCACTGTAGGATTCAAGTCTGCAGTTGCACACCTATGCTAAAGATGCCAAATAAAATGTTTTTAAGTATTTTGAAATTTGTTTTCAGGTTTATTCTTTCTGTCCTCATATATGCATGTTTCACATTTAGCACTAATGTGTCTTTAGATGCGCTCTGACCTCTGACACTAGTGTCTAAAATACATAAACGGGAAGGGTGCACAAGGAGAGTTCCAAGACAACTACAGCACATATGAAATCATGAACATAAACACTGGAACATACATGTATGCCAATCTAAATGAACTTCTAAAACGACTATACCTCGGTGTAGACAGACATGAGTTCCGAGTCTGCTGTCATATCCGTCTGAGCCACTGAGGGCGGTAAAGGCTCAGGCTACAGGAGTGCACAGGGTGGGGTGGAGTAGGGTTGGGTGGGATGGGTGGGGTGGGTGAAAGTGGGGATGGTGTGGAATAGTACAGGGGGATTGAGGAGTGGGGCAAGTGCAGGAGATACAGGGGGTTTGGATGAATGAGATAAAACAACATTTATGAAATCTCGGCACAATCTAGCTTTACATTGTCTAATCACATCTAAGGCTCACACAGCAGCACAGTCAGCATTTTCAAAAGGGCGGGTGAGAGCACATGACCAAAGAATTCCATGCAAACCATGCACACCTCGCAGATGACTTTCAGCCCCAAAAGAATTAAAAAACACTTGACTATATTTTCATTTCAGATTTATACAGGTTTGTGTTTCTGATCATGCTAGACACAAATAAACATTTTTGTAACTTTTCCCTTCTTGTTAAATCACTTCAGTGTTTGGAGTAAAAAAATCCATCGCTTTAATGAAGAGTGAGTGATTTGGGTCAAAAAGTAACCAGCTATTAAGAGCAATGCTTCAATCAAGAATATAATTACTAATTATGTGAAATATTTCATTTCCAAGAAAATTGCAGCTTAGAACTTCAGTTTTTGTTTTTAACTATTGGTAAATATCCTAAGTACAAAACAGTTATTAGTTTACTATGAGAGAGCACTTACAATGTTAGGATGTATTGTGATATTAGGATATATTAGGATATTGTGGATTAGGGTTTGTTAAAAAGTGAAGCACGCCACACTGTGAGATAAAAAACTTATAATGCATGTGAATAGAAGGATGAAATTCAACATGTTAGTTCATGTCAGTAAAATGCTTTACCTTTAATTAAGTTAATAACATCAAACACAGTTATGAGATATATTTTGTTCACACAGGCATTGAAATAAAAGCGAGAGTAAAAAAATGAAAGGGGGCGGCTTATTGAGTTCAAAGCTACACACTAAAGGTATGTATACCACCAAACTGTTAAGGAACAGATAAAATCTAAATAAATATTGCTGCTATATATGTATCGTTTATGGACCACCATTTTCGAAAAAAAAAATGGCACCTGAAATATTATGACTCACTGTTAGCGTAAATGTAACAGCAAGTCAGTTCCATAAAATAATCAGCCACGTTTGTAACTGTTTATTGGATGTTACCTCTGCACTGTTTTATTATTTTAACCAATAAAGTTACTTCTGTAACTACATTGGTTCAGTTACTTCTTCAACTGATAAAGTTTGCAAAAGAGGTACAGCTACGCTAAATGCAAGCTACAAAAACAATGTGAAAATAAGGGTTTTTTTAATTTGCCTTGAAATTTAATTGTTGACTACCTAACTTGACAATTAAGATTTCACAGTGGTTTTCTTTACACATTTGTTCACCCAAGGTCAGAAAAGCTCTTAAGAGTCAATCTTGGGAATCTTTATTGTGCGATAACATGAAAGAGCGGGTCACTGATGTGGAAACACATGTGTAAATGTGTATTGCATCTCTGATCAAGCAGTCATATGAGATGAATCTCTTTCAAACACTGACGGCCGCAATGACGCAAAGTGGCATTGATCTGATCATTTTTGTATCGGGGAAAAGCCCTACGCTGAGCATTCACTGTCCAGTACCTGTCCTTCCAAACCCATCGTGCAATCCTCCTGGCAATTTAAAGAGGGAATTTTTCACCCACAGTTTTAATTGAGATGCTTCAATAGTGTTGTCTTGATACCCGAGGGAAATTCAACAGCACTAAATCAGAATTGCAAGTGACTACTGAATTCATCAGATATCCTAAGTGTTTTTATATAGCAAGTTCTCAACGGCAAGAATATTTACAAACCTTGCATTGACTGTGTTTTTCTTTAAGGTATGGAAGGTTTTTTTTCCTTTAGGGTGAATTTTTGCTTCTGGTATGACAAGATTGCAACTAAACAATGTCTAATGCTTGTGAGTTATAATGAAAAGACTGGTTGCCTTCATATACTGGTACTCTTTTGTTTCTATATAGTGAAGGATACGCACAATGCAAGCAGTAAGACCACCCACATCTAGTCCAATTGAGGTATGACAGACAGTTAAACAGGGCCCAATTTTATGGCGCTACTTGTCATGAAATTGTCTGTCTGTCAGTCAGAAAGTCATGCTACCATGCTACATCACAAACTTATGCAAAGTTTCCTCTGAGGTAAGCATGCCTTTTGCTGTCCTTACTGCTTAAGGTCTCCGTAAATTATGCTGAACTGCACTGTGAAATGGGGCCCAGGTCTCATCTTTCTTCCCTATTAAGAATATTCATTACTTGACCATATACCTCTTATATGATACATGTTTGTGAAAAACGCAACTGCTCACTACAAAAAACTTGACTTCAGCCTGTTTTTCAGATGCCTCTAGGGGCGAATTCAGCCCTGTAACACTGATCAAAACCACTCTACCTGGATTTCATAAATATTTATCAACCATTTGCAACTATTAATGGTAAATTGGGAGTAACTATGAATATCAAGGTCATTATAGGCTTTGCCTGGAAGGAACATGTTAATGCCAGGTACTTTGCAGTGCTGCTAATGCTCCAAGCTCGGCAACTGTCTCCCTACTGCCCATTTCAATCATTCTCAGTCTAGTTTGCCACTCTTATTCCACATTGCCTACTTATAATACACCTGTTCTACTTGAAATTCAATGACTACCAGCGGGATAGGTCGGTCAGTACTGTAACCTCATTCTGAAGGGCTCCATATAATGTGCAGTTATCCTAGAAACCTTCTTGCCAGTACAAAACTAGTTATGCACACTGCATACTGCACATTTGACTTTTCTCATTGTGACCTTCATTTCAAATTAATGTTTACTGTTTACAATTTACTGATTTGTGCAGTTCAAAATGAAATTCATTTGAAGTTTCCAGAAATACACAGTAGAAACAGGAGCATCAGAAAAAGTAGTGCCTTTTACATACCATTACAAGGAACACTATAATTGGGACACAAAGACAGTTCATAGGAAACCATGTCTGCGAACATGTGTGTGAATTTTTAATTGCACCTTACTGATGCAAAACAGCCCGCACCATTTAGAATCTGTTGTAACTGCCTTTAGGAAATTTGCATTTCTGTGTGTCGGCAAAATGTTAAGTAACATTCTGGTTGAGGGAGAGTTTATCCTCCTCACCAGAGGCATGGCAAGATGGCTTCTGGGCAATTTAGGGCTTAATGGTGATTTCTGGAATAATGAAGAACGGGATAAGAGCAATGATCCTACAAGCCCACACCAATGGAAGTGCTCCCAACACAGCAACACAGCTGAGATTATTCAGAGGGGAAAAAAGAGAACATTAAAACCTAAAGACACGCTCTGGCCTAATATTTTTTGTTAAATAATTTCAAAGCAAGGATCAGCATAAACTACTGAAAAAAGCCCACATCGATTTAAGCTAGTACCCAAGCAATGGGTACCTAACAAGATTTCAAGCCCTTGAAATTAATGTGCAGTAATTTGCTATGGTTGGAGACACATTTCCACTGGCTTCACTGCTAACCCTCTAACAAGTGGATAGGATAATGAGAAGTGACAAGCACTAAAGCCTATGTTTAATTTCCAAATGTGAGCCTTATCTCGAGATCACTCCCTTCTCTGCAGCATCTCATTAAATATGCATCCGTTCAGGAACGGTAGATATGCGGGTGTCAATATTGGAGTGTGCATCAAATACATCACAGGATGATGTAATCTTTTGGCAATCTCATTAAGTATGATACACAAATCATGAATGAACGATGCACTCTACAAATGACATCAGGAAGTCAAGACGAAAGAAACCTTGGCATCTTTCATCCGAAAGTTTACAAGAATGGTAAAAAAGCTCTGAGGAAGAAGAGTTTAGCTCAAGCAAGAATTTGCTTGCAAACGGTGCAAAAAGTCACTCCAATAAGTGTGACAAGAAGTGGGTTAAAATAATCAACAACATCATACTTGAATACTTGATTCATTTAATGTGAATAACAGTACCCTTTTGTCATGCTGCAAGAGAGTAGGCTGTTTTTACTTTCAGGGTGGAAATGCTGTACAAGTACAACTTCCATTATCTGAAAATATACTTAACATTTTTTGTTTCATTTTTACTGGCTCACTATGACCACATTTCAATTGCAAGATTTTAACAATACTCTACCTCTTTGTAAATCTGACAAAATTTCCACTGAGTTTTGTCAAGAAGTATTGACTTTTCCATTCCTTTTTTTTAAACAACAGCTTTAGAGTTTGGGGGAAATGGGAAAAAGCCCCCATTCCCCCACTAAGATGTGGCATTTGTAATTCCCCTATGAGAAATAGAAGTGAAGAAAACAAAAGCATGCACCTGTGATGCAAGGCCTTTTCCCAGCACCTGCATGCAAAACATTATAAGCATTTTCTTTGCAAAGACACTTTCAAACAACAACCTGAGAAGAAAACAGCACCCCCAAACCATGCACATGCAAACAACCACGCAGAAATATATGCAAATGGAACATGTATTTTTTTCCCTTTCCCATACATGCTGGTGGGAAAGAAAACTTTAAGGACCAGATGGATTCCTTCCTTGCAACCTGCTTGCAAAAACAATGACATCAATTCATGCAGCACACCATTTACAAACATACAGGCAGGGAAACATTTCAGCCACATCAATCGATAATTGCGTGTACGCACAGCCTGACTTTCCACTCCAAAATCTCATATCCGTCAGTGAACTATTAACACATGTGGACACTGATTGAACTCCAATGCAGGAGGTTCTAAACAGGTCCTGGTGCACAACACAAAAATGCACCGTTCAACTGTGCAGTGTAATGGCATGTTGCTGGAATGGAATTGATTGCCTCTGATGCAATATTGTTTGGACCTTCAATTGTCCCTGATCTAGGCCTGGCGGAGATGGGCTCGTGAATGACTGCATTATTGAGCGCACATGTGTCAGACATGAATTTTGCATGTCTGTGTTGTTTGGCTTGCAATTCTAGGGCGACTCAGTCAGAACAAATGGGCACACGTGCATTTTTTAAAAATTTAAACAAAGCATTCCCTGAGTTTTATGAATGCTTTAAATTATGCCATAGAAAGGCCATTTATGTCCACAAAACACTAATTTTTCAAAGACACAAATTGAACAGATGAAGGCTTTGTATGGAAAGTCTTATGTCAACAACGTGTTCACTGAAGCTAATGACAATATAAGTTTTTGAGGTCTGACCAAATATGCATGTTACACTGCACACTGCTCATGTTTCTCTCATGCCTAAATCCACTGACAAATATGAGATTTTCCCGGAGAAAAAAGCTGCAACACACTGACAACCCTGAGATCTGTATAAGTACCTCTTCTTCTTCTGAATCCGAGAATTCCTTGAGGCATTGTGGAAAATTAGGGATGGAAAAACAGTCAATTGTAAACTCGAACACTACATTCTTTAAATACTGACATCACAGAACAACAAATGAGCAGCTGTGAAATTTGTAATACATGTACCATCGCATGTATGTACCGCTATTTGTGCATGCATGACCTTTGGCAAGAATGAATTATGACCAATTTGATTTTTGACCATGATGTAATACTCCGTGACTAAGCAGAACTTTTGTTTCATACCAGGGTACCAGCAGGGTCAGAGGTCTTTGCTGCCCCACACAAAAATCAACCCTTGGATGTAAAGCCATAAATTCCTTAACACAGTTGGCTGTGACTGCGTAGGTACATGGGAAGTGCCAATGTCAGCCCATCCAAGCAGAAACAAACCATGCACTACCAGTAGCTGAAACTGGTAACCAGCCAACTGCTTCTTCAATTTATTCATGTTATTACTCTCCTTGCCGTATCAACCAGCAAGTGACACAAAAATAACACAATGCAAGCTGCCGGTTGACTACAGAGGTGATGGTTCATTTGTTATCCAAGAGAAACAAATTCTCCCTACTTTGGAGGAAAAGAAACGGATGGCAATTTTTATCATTACTGTTGAACAGCAAGTCAGCTATGTGACAATGGAGTCGAGAATGTATTATGATCATTTCCTACATGGTGCTCGGTAAAATGTCAGATGAGCCTGGAAGGCTTCAGTCAGAGGGTTAATGTAGCTGTGCTCATCAAGAGCACACGGTATGATGGATGTTACAGAGGTAATGGCTTCATGTTGAAAATGGCATAAGCTGTACTGGGTGTCTTCATTTTTCATCTATCTGTTCCAATACATTACTGCTCAAATACAACTTGGCTTCATTAAAAGAACTGATATTTTCTTTATGATTATGCAATAAGATAATGTTTTTCTGGCTATGCATGTTTTTACCAAGTGTAAATGAATTTTTGAATATGTTCAATGTGTTTTACTTTCAGAGGTACACGTACAATAAAAACCAGACTCTATTTCTTTTTCACCATTTTGGTTACTCTATCAAGCACACATGCGTGGCAATGAAACACAAGTGGCGGTTAAAGTTTTTCTGAATCATCTTGATCTATCTCGGCAAAAGTTTTGCTACACAAAGTCAACTCTGCTGCGACAACCTTTTGTCAGTAGCCTCGAGTCATTTTCTGAGCATCGGATATTGCCGATGACAGCATTATACATGTATTTGATCTTGCATTAGCTTGTTGTTATGCCGTATTCATCCTGTTTTTAATTCAAAGCTACAGTGCTCTTTCAGACAATCCACGTGAGGTACACGTTAAAGTGGCCGATTGCTCGTGCACAATGTGACTCTCTTTCCCTGCACATTCAGTGAGATTGCATTGGTATGTGACTTGAAAGCCAAAGCTTAAATCAATTTGCAATTTCAATTCAATGGAAGGTAACGTCAAGTTCATTCTTGTTTTGTCCAAAAAAGGAACCAAAAAAAAAAGCAGAGAAGGAAATTGAATTTCACAAATGTGATTTTTTTATTTGCTACCGCCTATGTGAAAGGCCAGCAAAAGCCAAGTGCATTTCACAGTCCTGAAATCTTTTTAGCACCAATACTGAAGACTGAAATGACCATTTGCATTTTTGCTTTTCCGCAATACATCCTCACAGAAAGGCTGAATCCTGCAGGCTATGTAACAACTTTCCAAGATAAGATATCAAGAAAAGAGAATTTATGGAAAGACATCTTCCGAATATAAAAGATCATAGGAAGGCATCTCTCCAAAAAAATGAAAGCAATCATTCCAAATCACATTTTATCAATTTTTATCCATATCATTTTTTCTGAGTTTACCCAAGAAACTTTGGACACATTCACTTCTAGTCTTTTGGAAAAGCAAGAATGACATATCAAGCCATTCCCTATATTCATGTATTAGGTTTCATGCTTGAGATTACAAATCCTCCCACTTAATTTTGTTATTCTATCTCTGCGATTCAATCATATTCTCAGCATCACACTAAACACAAATTTGCATCACCACTGCAGAAATCAACTTAATGCCATTTTCAAATGAAATCACACAGCAGTGTGCTAATTTACAGCAATTCAAGAAGCATTTTGGTTGGATAAAAACGACACTACATATATTGGCTTAATAGCTTTGTTGCCTCACACATGTATGGTTAGCAGTTGTTAGCAAAAGAGCCCGCCACACATGCAAGAGAAAAAAAACCAATGACTTGAATAATGCATACATATTTCACCCTCCCACACTTACTTTCCGTTGTTGCACTGGTATTACCGGTGCTTCCGTTTTCTCAATAACTGGTTCTGTGTTTTCCCTTTCAATCTGATGTATTTTTTCAACAAAATTTATTAATTGATACAGAACAATGCTGTCACTTTAAGAGAAGAAATTTGGGAAGAAGAGATACAGACATATGCTGGAAACTTGTAAAACACAAGAAGACAGATAAATGCAAAACCCAAGCAGTTTATCTCCCTTTCCCTCAGACAGCAAGCCCATTTTGACAGCTCAAATAAGATCAATCTTACATTAAAAGGAAAAACAAAAGCTCTGACATGAGCCTCAGGTGTTGATCTCAGCTTCTTTGGGCTGATATGCTACTTTCAACCCACTTTCATTGCACCGAGGTGAACCCTGACTGTCAGTTATTAGCCTGCTCATTTATGATTAGGAGTGCATTATGATGCAAGGTTGACAGAGTGTGAATGGACTACCTTTGCCGGGTCACTGAACATAATCAGGTCATCACAATCACTGACAGCACAATGCTGAATTCAAGGTTGGCTGAATTCAAAGTGGCAAACCGAACAGGGTATGGGATACCACGTACCTCATTTTAATTTATGCTCCAGTGACTGGTACATTAAAGATATGAGTCATTTTTGACAAATCACTTGTACTGCATAGAGAAAATTTCCTATTTAAATTTTCCGAAAACTTCTAGCTTTTCAAACTGCACCATATCATCCAGATGTTATGAATTTTCTGATCACTCAAGTGTCCAGATCAATAATTTATGGATTTTTCGTAATGATTTACCTACAGGAAGGACAACTGTGGAATATTTAATGTGATGAACAACTTCATATAACATCTCTGATCTTGAGAATAACAACAGGTTTGTAAAAGGTACATTCTTTTTAAAATTGAACACAATGTGATTTTGCCGTTTGTAATTAACTTTCTAGCTAGCTTGGCCAAGTGAAGCTGGTTGCATGACAGGTTCCTCTGGAGTTAGCAAATACACTTTACAAAAAAGAGGTTCTGCAGAAAAGCTTACTATTGAGGATTGCTTTGGCAAAGTTTGTTCTGGGTTAAAAAAAAACAGCCACCAATCTATTCATCAAACACTACGAGGCCCTTGACTTTGGAGGGGAAAATGTTCAAGAGATTTAAAGGTTAATAGGCAAGAACATGTTTTCTGAGTGTTGGTCAAATCCCTGTTATTGTATTTTCATCTCATTAGAGCAAAGTCTGAATATCAGTGTGAACATCAGTGTTGTGGCATTTTGTTCCTGGAGCAAATTAAAACTGTATCCATGTTTTGTTCATGATTGCAAAACTAAGGATATTAGGCATTAACGTGTCTTCTGTTTCTTGAAATCTCCTGCTCAAAATGGCAACTACTCTGAGAGGGAAAAATAAGAGAAAAAAATCCTCTTTACTCACGTCATGAATAATGATAAACTCAGGAGATTCGGCCTTCTCCTCTTCTTCCTCTTCGTCCATTTCATCTTCTTCGGCTGTCTCCTCCATTGCAGGTGTCTTGGACAGTTTCACATCCTCGCTCTCAGCATCTTCGGCTACCTCTTCCACTTTCTTCTCCTCCTCTGCCTTGGAGGTTTCCTCGGGAGGGGGTTTGGGCTCCTCCTTTACAGCCTCCGCTTTGAGTTTCTTCTTGGGCTTCTTGGCAGGAGACACCTTTTTCACAGGGGCAGGCTTCTTTGGTTTCTTGGCTTTAGTTGCTATTTAAAGAGGAAAAGAACACCGACTCAAAATTATCATCAAAATAGCATTAACCCCATCTCCCCCAAATCACACCTAACAAGAACTTCTTGGGTAATCCATTTCTTCAATTCTAATTCTTCTTGATAGAAACATATAATTTCAGGGAGACTGCCCCTAATCTTTTATATGAACTATATTGTATAGTTATGGAAGAGATCTGTAAACAGAATCTTCTCATTTCAAAAGACAACTGGCAGTCATTATTTTCTCCCTTAATTAATCAATCTTAAAAAGCAACTGTTTCTGAAAACATCCGATTATTTAAAACGTTCTTCCCCAAATGACTCATTACATGGAAATGTCCACTTCTAATTTTACTAGTGAAAAGCCAGGCAGCCAGGCACTAAGTGAGCCCTCGTGGGTTTGCTAAGGAAAGGTCACCGCTGCTCTTCCAGAACTATCTCAAATGCAAGTCCAAGGGAGGTGCATATCATTTTTTGAGTCAGAAGCAGTATTACCTCAGCAGCAATTCCCAGCCTTCCATTGTGGCTGTCGTAACACTGCAACTGATGTACAAGACCACAGTCAGGGAACCAGTCTCAGTAGAACCAGCCGAGCCAAATTTGGCCAAATTCAAATGCCCAAATAGCACCATGTTGGCAATCTTCAAATGAGTCGACAGCCAACTTTAGGATTGATCTGAACCGCTACTTTGCCACTTGTGAATGAATGAATCTTGTGAATCAATCCAATCCACTCTCCAAAGGTCTGTGATTGCCTACCTTTTGCAGGTTCTGCCTTTTTCTCTTCTGGCTTCTTCTCAGGCAGCGGTTTGTAGAGTAGGTGGTCAACTTTATCATCCTCTGGCTTTTCTATTTAAAGGCAATGAGAAATGCAACAAAGTTCTTTAAACAGGGAAATTGTGGTGAATGTGCACCATTATGTACATGTACTGCAGTGGTGAGGTGGCATAAATTGAAAAAAACGGGGAGATTAGAATTAAAACCTGCCAAAACAGTGGACATATTGCCTTCAAGTGCAAGTACCTGCTGGTAAATTAATGACACACACCTGCCATGGATAAGTCTTTGTGTGACAGTGATAGTAAAGCTTCCATTATGCTGATTTGTAAACTGAAGTGGACTGAATGGGGACCCTGGGGACAATCGGTAACTTCCAGGTCATCTTTTACTCTAACAATATCTTTATCTATCATTAATAACAGCAACCATACATGCTCATACACAAAATATTTGCTCACAAAATACTGTCTAGAGTACACTTCTGATAAAACTGCATCTGAGTTTAGATAAAGTTCACCTGGAAAGAAAGCAAAGAACACTTTTACCTCAACTGTGAATACCTTCAAAACAGTCAGTAAAAAGCCACCGCTACTTATGACAACACTGAACCACAGTAGCGGTGATCAGCCCAAGTAGGGTTACCGTCAAGGCTAGAGGGTAAGCTTAGAGACTGCTGCTACACACTTACTGACAACAAACTCCTCCTTGTTCTTGTCTTTGCTGCCGCTTGACTTGTTGCTCTTGTTGCTTTTACTGCTCTTGCTGCTCTTGGTGCTCTTGGCATCTGGTGCCTTCTCTTTCTCCATTAGGCCTGTCTCCTTCAAGATCTTGGCTAGTTCTTCGTCCTCTGTGTCCAGTTCTTTAGGCTTGGTAGGCTCTGCAGGGGGGCGCACAATGGGAGGTTGCTTCTCCTATTGGAAAGTTGGTAAACGTTGCGTACATTACAGACGTAGGCAGCAGGATATGCTCTCTCCAATATTGGCCCTGTGCTTGAACCATCAACTTCTGATTGGACAATGCCAACTCTTGAATATTGCATATTACTGATTGGCATATGTCATTCCTGGTTTCTTTAACCACTACCAGCCGGGGACTCC